ATCTGGATAAACGAATTAATTAACGGGATTCTCATAATTATGATTAGTTTGACGACGAGAAAAAGAACCTTTTTCATGTATTTCTTTTGCATTCCTTTTATCTATGCCAAATTCTACGTTTTCTCTTTGTCAGTTCAAACAGAGAAAGAGAAAGGGGGTGAAGGGGGAGGATTTAACGAGCTGGAAAATCTAGCCAGAGAAATTATATATATATATTGGAAGGTAAAACGTTCACGGGTCATTATCGATTTCGAATAAAAAGGTGAATAGATGGAAAACCATGTAGATGTTTAAACGAGGCTCTTAATATATTTATCAAGTGTTAGACGATCGGTATTTTACTGTTAGATATCTATCATATACACTAGAATAAGTATCGTATTATTTGAAAGATTATTAGCTAATAATTAACTGCTAATAATCATACCTGAAATGACAAAACCAATTCAAAAATGATAGAATTATAATAATTCGTAAAGAAGATGCCCCAAATTGTTTTGAAAATTTGTAACCAAAAAAAAAAATTAAACGAAATGATACTTTTCTTATTCAACAACAACAACAACAACAACAACAACTATAAAAATAATATTAAATCTGTATAAATTATTTTCCCGACTATCTTAAATAATAAAAATATGCAAACATAATATCGTAAGAAGCTATCTTTAAGAAAACACGTTATTCGCGTACTTCGTTTACCGCCATAAAATGTAGATTTATGACATACGCATAATCGCGAATGGATCTTCTATTGCAAACCCCGACACAAGTGTGCATCCCGTAAGCTTTATAAACGTTGTCAAACGGTGTGAAGTAACACGTAACCGGTACTTACGTAAACGACACTGGGTATATACGTGTCGATAGGCACAACTTAAGGCTAAAATCATTGCTAAATTGTATATAAATCGTGCATAAATTGTCTTCGTAGTTTAATAGTTTTGCAAAACTTCTCTTACGTTTAATATCGTATTTAATAAAGTAAGAAAAGAAGATTATTTATTTCAATATTTTTTATATATTCACAAAGATTATTACTTATTTCTTTTTATATCTTTCTTTTTTTTTTACTTCTGAGTGTTATTATTATCGAAGAAGTAAAGCTCGCGGAGAGACCAAAGGGATTGAATAAAAAATAGGAAAAAAATATATGAAATAGGGAAAAAGTACGTGATCGATTTGCATCGATTGCATCCAAGCATTGCGAATTGCATCGTAGACAAATTTCGTAAGTAAATTTCGAAGATTCTGAATATCATCATAGAAACTTGGCACACCGTTATTAAACGTTCCTGTCCGAGAGCTTTCGCAATATCGTTTGTTATTACGTAAAAGCTTCTTACCCTTCCGCGTTTAGTTGCGTGGGAAGGGCGGGGAGGGGGAGGAGGCGGGAATGTGGGAGTATGTAGGAAAAAAATACAAATAAATTGAATCGAAATGGCTCGTGCTATTGTTTCGAGTATTGTGTATAACCTGGTGAAAGAGAGGAAGAATGGTTTTAGCAGATATCGCGAAGAGAGTGTCGAATGATAAAAGCTAAATAATAATAACAAAAAATAAAATGTGAGAAGAGTGAAAAGGTCGGCGCGAGAAGGGTGGATGGGGTGAGTGGGGGGAGGTGGGGGGGGGAGCGGGGTGTTTAGGAAAAGTAATGATAACGAAACCGAAAAGCTTTTTCAAAACGTGACTAAGAATACGTAAGGAGGAATGGTCGGAATGCGCAAATTGAAATTAGTCAGCCTTGAAATGAAATTAGTCAATTACGGTTTAAAACGGAAGAAGCGAAAGCACCGTTCAAATTCCGTTCTATTATTATGGCGTTTAGCGTTTTGATGATTCGATCGTTATCTCTTTCATGGCTTAATACCTACATATAGATAAACGGTACGCATTAACGTGTCTATCTATTGTGCGATAACGCGAGTTTACGTTCATATAAGGTCGGATTAATTTTATCGTTAACGATTATGTAGAAATTCGTTTAGTCTAAATTGTTTAGATAAATACGATTCTATCTTTATCTCTATCTCTCTCATACACACACACACACACACGCATTTCTCGTTGCGAGTTGAGAGAAAAGATCATAGTAATATATTATCATTATAGTTATTAATATTATTATTATTATTATTATTATTAATGTTATTTTGTTATAACTACGTGTTTGAAATTGTCGAATAATTATTAAATATCAATCATTTAAAAGCTATTTGGGATTTTAGAGATAGAATATGATAATTTAAATCAATAGGAAAATTTTATGAATCATCGCGAATTATTCGAATAGGAGAAACCTTCTTCCTCTTCACCCCCCCCCTCTCACTCTCTCTCTCTCTGTATTTCTCTAGGTCGAGATAATCTCTCGGCGTATTTAAAAATCTACTGTTTACTCGTTCAAAGTTCAACGTTGCGTCAAACGTAACAGATAAAAGTTGTAACCGTTTACTTATATCTACTATAAATCTTAGTGGGATTTTTATTAATGAGAAGGTATCATTATCATAAGCAACATACCATAACGTTATATCGTATCTCGTTCTTGACACACCTTTCGTTACATTCTAATATTCGCGTGATTATTATTATTGTTATTATTATTATCATTGTGAACATTTTTGAATAATATCCCAGAAATTTCGTTCGATTATAAACGAAGATGAAATAATTTCAAAAAGAAAAATAAGAAAAATGTCGAGAACGCGATTGTATTCGATAATGTTCATAGATCACGTAGAAAACGATTGAAATATTTGCTTCATTGATATAAAACGTGTATGTATATATATATATATTAGCATCATGAATCGATCATTTTCTCGAAGCGCGCGAATTCTAATGTATTATTATCATGCCTTCAATGTTTCTTTTTCTTTTTTTTCTTTCTTTCTTCTTCCTCGCGTCAAAATTACCAACGGAGAATTTTAATTCGACATTTGTAATCGAATAAACGTGAATATTATCATCGATAGATATTCTACGAATACAAACGTCAAATCTTAATCAAATAAAATAAAGTGCACATTTAATCTTTCGGTATCTAACGTAAGAAGAAGAAGAAAAAGAAGAAGAAATAAAAAAAGCGTCGATATATTATATCGTGGGAAATTTTTTTTCCCCCATTTTTCTTCTTCTTTTTCTCGGTTTTTTCTTCTGAAAATTAAAAGAAAGAGATATAAAAAAAACGTCTCATCTTATCTGACCAGACAGTGGAAAGAAAAGTGTGATAGTGTTCGATAAATGTTAGTGCGTCGTATGAAATAATAAAATAAAAATTTAAATCCTACTTGTAAAGGGAGTTTGCGTAATCCATTTTACTAACTATTCTCGAAGTATTTCTCTCTTGGATAATGATAAAAGAGAAAATAAAAAAAAAGAAAAAAAAACAGACACACACAATAGTTTAAACGAACTCAATCGATTAGAAGAGTTATCGGTGTATCGATAGCAATCAAACTTTCCATTACCACGAACTTTTTTCTTACTCTAGGGAAAATAAAAAAAAACGTAGAATTAAATAAATAAATAAATAAATAAATATCTAAATATGAATGAGATAAAGAAAGATAAAGATAGTGAAAGTAATTGAAAATTTAGATTGCCATTCATGGCAAAGTAATTTTGCACGCGCTTCACGTACTTGTTAGTTATACATACACGCACTTCACGTACTTGTTAGTTAGACATACACGCACGGTGGTTAATGAACACGTCAAACGACTGTTTACCAACGTATCGTTCTATTACATCTGACTGAACGAAGGAACGAACGAACGAACGAACGAACGAATGAATGAAGGAACGAACGAACGAACTGACGCATGTTTTAATTCTTGTCTTTTCCGATCATTTTCCATTCTTCCATTTATTTATCTCATTGACAATGACACATTGTTGGCAAACTATGACAATATATACAGGAACCAATCATTAAAAGGAAGACTTTGTTTTGTCTCGATCAATCTAACAAGATCTGTTTTAATCGATAGAACCTTATCTAGTAAACAAACTAGAAACCCTTTGTCATTTGTCGCGTTAGACGAGAAGATAAATGAGACTTCGATTAATAATCTAACCATTTTGTGTATTACGAGATAAATTCAATTTTTTACTGAAGTCAATACAATTATTGATAAAGAAAAGATTCTAATATATTTATATAGGATTATTGTTACATCACGTTAAACGAATTATCCATGCGTTCACCTTTGTCTTTGGGTTATCAATTTCTCGAACATTAGATTTGTTTAAGAAAAAAAATCTGGTCAATGTTGATCTTTGATTAGAATAGAATGATCGATCGTTAGATTTTAATGGCGCCAAACTTTCTCTCTTTCTTTTCTCTCTTGTTCTAGTTCGTTTATACTACTTGTGGATGATATAACACGTATTATACACGCACACCACCAATCATACTACATTCACTATCTTACTCTCGTATATGTATATAAGTACGCTTATAAATATACATATATATCATATAAGTAGTATAGTAGGTTTTATTCGACCATCGAGAAACGGACGCGCTGTCTGGCCGAGTCTCGTTAACCGTCAAGGTCGATCCTTCCACCCTTTCATACTTCTAAGATTATCTTTATACCCAAGTTATTCTCGACGTTTACTAATCGTTCCAATTGTCATTTAATAGAAATTAATTAACGCGATATAATATAACTGCGATAACGATTAACAATTCTTCCGTTTGTATTTTCTATTTTATGTGTGTGATTTAATCTTTCAAATGAAATTATTTAATTAATTTTCTCTTAACAACAACAAAAGAACAACACTTGTAATCGTTGTTTTTATCTTTGACATTGAATTTAATTACACAATTAATCACCCCTATCTTTCTTTCTCCCTATCTCTTAGATTTTGTTTTGAATTTTTTTTTTTCAATGAAACCCTTGAAGATTATTCTTTCTTAGTGTAAAAATGGTGGTTTTAAAAAAGAAAAAATAATATATATATAAGATAATATATTTTGAAAAACTTACCCTCTCTCGAATTCCTCTTACCAGGAACGACTGAACGCACAAACACGGTGGCCACGTTCCCAACTCGATGATCCTCTTCCAGATACTGTCGCTTTCTATCAAACTCTCGACGAAGGCATCGTGCCTTTCCCGAACTACTACTACGCGTTGCCGTGGGAACGAGAAGCCGCTAACTACTATGAATAAATCTCGAATGATTAAAATTTCATTTCTAGATATTCTAGAATTTTTTCCTCAATTATATATAAACTGGAGACATTATTTTTATTCTCCTAAAATTAAACGAACATATTTTTCTTTTATTTTTTTTTTTTTTTTTTTTTTTTTTTTTTTTTTTTCAATACATTCATTTCCAATCACGAGAACCGTTGTCCTCGTCGTACTCACATTGCGCATTAATTCTTTCGAAAAAATTTCATTTATTTTTTGCAATATTGTACTAATAATATTAATAATAATAATAATAATAATAATAATAATAATAAAATGATCAAAGAGACCTCGCCCTTTGGAACAAACGACAGAGAATAACCGTTTAACGTGTTGCCTTGAACTTTTACCCTCCCCCCTTGTCCCCCCCCTCTTCTTCTATCTCTTTTTTATCTTCCTTTTCCTCCTCTCATTTTTATTATATTTCTTTTTTATTTCACATCGAAACATCGATTCCCCGTGACAAATGCAAACGATAGACAAGATGTTACAAGTTTTTGCTACTATTATCTCGTGCGAGTTCGGTGACACGCGTCGTGCACCCTTCGACCTTTCCAAACCCCCACCCCACAACGCCCCACCCCTTTTACTTCGGAGACAATCATTTAGATTTAATCCCTATGCTTTTAAGTATCTGCAATGAAGTAACACGAAATTTGGAATATAATATTACATTTCTTTTTCCTTGAATTTTATTTTCGATAGTTGATAATCTCGAATACAGCGATAACCTTCGTTCCAATATTAGCCAAAAATGTTCGATTAATTCGGTCAACTCGATTGTGCCGAAAAAAGTATTTCGATGAGAGAGATTTTGTAGTGGGACAATAAAAAGGGGGAGGGGTAATGGATGGCGCGTAGATTGATTGATCTAAATTCTCGTATTTCCAAAGGGCGTTTTCTAACCCCCGAACTTTTGTTTCCTTCATTTAACTAACAATTGTCACTGATTTTTTTGTTGAAATAATTTTCAATTATAATAAACATTTAAGATAATATATATATATATATATCAATCGTTTTCTTCTATCATATTTACTGAAATATATTTCATATGTATTCCGTATTATTATTATTATTATTATTATTATTATTATTAATAATAAACATTGGATGTGTGCGCACGGAAAAATTTGTAAGCGTCGTTCCAACGACGATAGGAGGACGACGCTCGTACCCCATCGAAGATAATTATCCTCGAAGTTTAATCGTATCAAAAATAAATAAATCAAGAATAGGGAATAAGTACGCGAACTATCAATCTTCGAGCAATTATAGTTTACACCAAATGTGTGTGTACAAAAAATATGATAGTAGTAAGTAACTAAGTGTGTGAGTGTGAAGGAAAAAACAATATAGAAAGTGTATTTGGATTAATGCGGATTGGATAAAATAAAATGTGAATAAAGTATTAAACAATTATATTAAATAGGATTGAGATAAGAAAATATTATAATGAGAGAGAGAGAAAGAGAAAGAGAAAGAGAGAGAAAGAGAGAAAGAGAGAGAGAGAGAGAGAGAGAGAGAGAGAGAGAGAGAGAGAAAGAAAGAGAAAGAGCGCAGGTAAGCGCGTTGATTTTTTTTGGGAGTGATTCTCTCCCTCAGGTTTTGGGTTTTGGGCCCTTTTTCGCGGCGTGCGACGCGTATACGCGACGCGAGACGACTGTTCGTAAAACACGAGCCAGCAAGCTTCCTCCGGTTGTTTTAATCATCCCGTTAGGTAGCACCAGGAGGCAGCTAGATTCAGTCGTCCCGTTGGTGGTATTGATCCACGTGGGAGGGTAGGAAGGGGGATCACATCGGTTACCACCACCACCACCACCACCACCGCCAGCACCAACCACCTCGCCAAATTCCCGACGACGCATCCCTTTTTTTTTCATATCCGTTGTGTCTAACTAACTTTGGGGTAACGCGAATAGGTATATTATATTTAATTACTTTTTTTGTTCATTTTTTATATATTCTTTTCTATTATCATTGTTATTCTTGACGGTTATTTAACAAAATGGTGCTAGTGGTTATATTATGTTTCTTTCAAAAACCACCACCCCTAACGACAGACCTATATTCTTCCGTTGTTTTTTTGTTTTTTACATTCAACAAAGTTTTGTATACTTTTTCTTTTTAATGTTTTTTTTTCTTTTCGTCTACGCTCGTTTTTAGTTTTGATTATTTTTGTTAGAAAATAACGAGAAAGGGAGTAAATGTTTGAACGCGTCTATGGATTATTTTGTCCTTTTTTCTATTTTTTCTTTTTTTTTTTATGTATATCAATGCGTTTTGCTTTTGGATCGTAATGAATGTTTGATTAATGGGTGCCGGGGAAATTTTAATATTACGAAGTGAGATTGAACAGAGCGAAAGAGAGAGAGAGATAGAGAGAGAGAGAGAGAGAGAGAGAAGAGTGTATTATGATCTAAAGTAATGGTATTGGATGATTGATATGAATTTATTATGCGATAGATTATTCATTTACGATATGAACGATAGTTTCGTTATTTATGATCGATAATGCAGATTTCTAGGAAGATTTTGACATTACCGATGCTCGATAGTCGCGAGCTTAAAATATTGTGGACATCTTGAGAATGAATTTTCTTGTCATCAGATACCAGCACCAGTCCTTTCCATAGAGTCGTAATTTTATCTTATAGAGAGAGAAACAATAAAAAAAAAAAGGAAAAAAGCAAATAATCAATTAAATTTACCAACCTCCCCATTTAATTAGTAAAAGAAAAAAAAAAAGATGAATGCGTCTCTAAGGGAAGATAATAATAGGTGATAAAACAAAAAAAAAAGAAAAGAAAAAGGTAATATCGTAGAAACGATTAGGCAAAGTTAAAAGCCTAAAAGTTAAAGGATCTTTTGTCGTGAGTCGTCGACCGAGTCACCTGCTAGGTGTCAATTATGCTATCTTTCGACAAGGATCTCTATTCGTAGATAAACGAATATAGCAAGATTCTTAAATAAAGGTCTCGCCCTAAACCACCCGCCCCAACCCCTGTTCTTATCCCTTTTGCTAGATACCAACATTCCATGAGTCTAAAAGTTAAAATAACATTTAACGAATTTCTCGGGTTCTTTCGAGTTAAGATCAAGAGCACAACTGCTCTAACACAAAATGATCCTTTTTGTTGGAACTGGCAATCCCATCATGTAGAGAGAAACTAAATATATATGAGTAAAGCTGTCAATGCTGATGAAAAAATAACACTGAAGTGGATCATGGAAAATCAGATAAGAAGAAATCCTCTCACACACACACACTCTCTCTCTCTCTCTCTCATCTATTATTTTCTTTTCTTTTCGTCAATTCCCATTGTTTGAGACTTTTTTTCCTCTTTCTTCTCCTAAGAAATAAGATAATGAAGCGAGAAAGCTTAGGTGGCGAAGGACGATTCCACCCCAGACGGCTGGCCGACCTGTTTGCGTTCCCAACAGGAACAAACCGGGCGCACCTCTACACTTTCTTTTTCTTTTCAAGCAAATATTAAAGTATCCACTCGTATGTGCTATATTACAGCAGGTACTTCTATATATGTACGTGCACGTGTGTATATATCATCGTCCTATCAGTTACCTCGAACACTTCACCTGTTACGGAACTCGTAAAACCTGCTAATAAATAGTTCAAATCGAATTCCGTTCTTATCACGAGTCAATAATTCGTTCCGGTAAAGAAGAAGAAGAAGAAGAAGAGAAAAAAGATATATTTTTACACTTATCGAAAGAGAGAGAGAGAGAGAGAGAGAGAGAGAGAGAGATTATTATCTATATGTTAGATCTACAATGAAGTTATGTTTTATCGTGAAATACCGTGAAAAACCATCCCTCCTCCCCGTTACTTTTCAATAGCCTATGCGGTTACTCGCTTATTTACAGTCCACTCTCGTGCCCACTTGAAACTTCAAAAGGGCGACACATATGACAAGGAGAAGAACCGCAAATGATTTTTCCGGCAACGATGCGATGCGATGCGACGCGCTGGCAAATATTTACTAGAATTTAGAAGAGGAGGAGGTGGAGGAGGTGAACCTTCTTCGTTTCGTTTCGTTTCGGTGTTACAACATCACACCACACGTAGTCGTAGTGTTATATTATTATTCTTTCAAGGATTTTACTAGATAGGGATAGTCGTCGAGTTGTAAAAATTCGATAAAAGTCAAAGAAAAAGTAAAATAAAAAGAAGAAAGAAAAAAAAGAAAATAGAAATAGAAATACTTGGGCATTTGGAAGGTGTATTTAACGCGAGTAGAGTAGGATTAAACGACGCGAGAAAGTACGAAGAGTTTCTCGATAGGGCTCGAAAAGGGCCGACCGAGGCACGCACGCGTTTATAGCCCTTCCGTTTGCTTAGGCAAATCGAAGAGATTTCGCAGCGAGAGAGAGAGAGTGAGAGAGATAGAGAAAGAGAGTTGTTGCGTTGTCTTCTCTACCTTCTATTCCCACCCCACCCTCTGTTACTCGGCCGTGGTAATAAAAAACTATTACTGTGGTCATCAACCTTTTTAACGGCGAAAGCTACCATTAGAGTAGGAGGCACGCTAATCGCGAACGTTGTAACGTCAAAAATTATGGTCAAGACGAGGATGTAACTTGGCCGTCGTAAAACCAAAAAGCACGATTTACATTTGTATACGACGTGTTTATTTCGTAGCTATACCCCGTTCGTCCGCGCGTTGGAAACCAAACGATAGAGACGTAAGGCCCCTCTCGGAGGATAATAAATCTTCTCTTCTTCTTCTTCCTCCTCCTCCTCCTCCTCCTCCTCCTTCTTCGTCTCTTCCCTCTTCCTCTCCGTTCTCCTTTTCCTTTTCTTTCCTACCCCCACCCTAGGAAAGAGCATACGTAAAACTAACGCCAGGGATAACGCTCGCGTATCAAATTCGACACACATGCAACTTGTCCGACATTCTCTTCTCTTCTCGTTTAATAGCAAATCAAATAGGATCAATGACTCGTTTCTATCTGCGTTATAAAAAGAACAAAAAAAAACGGAGGGCCCGAAAAGGATGCTAGGTGGATCGTGTGTGTGTACAGTTATCAAAACAAAAAATTAAAAAATAAAAACAAAAAATTTCAAATGGACGATCGAGATCGATGATCGATGATCCGACGAGTGGAGGTCTTCATTTTTTTTTACTTTTATTCTTTTATCATTTCATTTCATTTTCTTTTCTAACTCCGACTCTACGCTACCAACCTTAGCACAGTTTAGTTTAAGTAGAAATTCAATAGAATAACTTAGCGGCTCCCGGTGGTAAAGCTACATTATAAATCTATAACGCGAGCCTAATGTAGAAGTCGGCATGCGTCGAATCGCTCGAATCGATCTCACGCTCCCACAGGTTTGTCGGTTTGTCGAATCACCGGTGCGGGCTGATTATGAAATTCTGTCACAACAGCTCGAGAACTTAATTCGTCTCGATGGCTGCCCATACTCGAGAAGGGTTCGAGAAGCTAACAGAGAACCGATCCAAGAGAAAGAGAGACAGAGAGAGAGAGAGAGAAAGAGAGAGAGAGAGAGAGAGAGAGAGAGATCGGTGGCCTCCGATCTGCCTCGGGAGAGATTCTCACGCAAACGCAATTCCCCTCTTCTTTCCTCTCCCCATCCCTTCCTCCTCCATCTCCTCCTGATCGGACGCGAGTCTTCTTCGAGTCTCGGCTTCGGCAGACGATGAATTTACAAAGTCGGACGCGTACATTCTATTAACAACGACCAAGACGACGACAAGAAGATCGTGAAGAAGAACGGGGTGGTGGGGGGTGGGGGTTAAAGATGAGAGAAGGTGGCGTGAGAAAAATCGACTCGGTGGTTATCGAGAAGGTATCGAAGTTATAAGAAACAAAAAGAAAAGAAAAGGAGGAGGAGGATGAGGAAAAGCCTTGAGAGGGTTAAAGTTTTACTTTAAATGGGCGCCTCCGTCCCCTTAGCGAAGACCTATCTCGTTCGTCCTCGGATGTCGTGCAACAATGGGGCACTTAAACGCACCGAAAGCTTAAGTCATCGTAACGGGCAATCATCACCGAGGTTGAGAAGAGCACACTGCCTCCCCAATTATCTCGGGGCCAAAACAATTAAACGCGACGCGCGGATGCTTTCTCGGGGATAGGTTCCCCGGACTATCCTCTCCGTGGAAAAGGGACAAAGGGAACTGCATCTTCATCCAATTAGACGATAATGGAAGACGGACGCGCGTTTTGCCACGGGGCCTCGCGAGTCAAAGCGTCTTCTTCTTCTTCTTCTGAACCCCTCCCCCCTCCTCTCCCAACCCGTCGTCCACCCTCTCACGTTCCTGAGGCCTCCTTTCGAAATTTTCTTCCGTATCCTCCTCCTCCTCCTCCTCCACCTTCAGGTTCGGACTCGGGCTCGGGCTCGGGCTCAGGCTTAGGCTTCAAGGGTTCGCGCGACGCGTTCGAGTGGGCTCGAACGGAGCTTATGCCAACCGGAGTTGTT